GAGAGGGAGAGCGACTGTGTGCTGAAGACCTGGGGGGTACGGGGGAAGGATTGCATGGAGGGGATTGTAACCATGGCAATGAGACGATACAAGATAGAATGAATGTAAAACTAATGTTCTCCCATGTAAACTATCACATAATTCACAATAAAACATTAAAAAACAAAACTGAGTTAGGACATATGAAAAATATCCTTCTGAAGTATGTACCAATTAAATTGGTAAGGTTTCAGGGAGGTGGGCATAATTGAATCCCAAGGGGAGAACAGCTTAATTTTTATAGCTAACATTACTGCTTTTACTAGTAATCTCATGTTTCGTATTGAAATTAGCTGTACTAAATAAGAGGACTTCCAACAGTCCCTGAAAAAAATTCCATTCTATTTTAATTCAACTTTTCCATGAACTTTTTGAAATCTCCTTGTATTGAGATGCAGGATGGACCCCACATACAGTCCAATGGGAGATCAAAACTGCCTCTAGTTATTATATTTGAAAAGGACATTTATAATAGCAGGATTCTTTTCTAGCCTCTTTTCCAACAATCTTAAACAAAGGCTGTTGAGTTAACTCATAGCAAATTCATGAGACAGAGTAGAACTGCCCCACAATGTTTTCTAGTCTATAATCTCTAAGGAAGCAGAGTACTAGATGTTTTTCCAGCAGAGGACTTGGTAGGTTTGAACTGCTAACCTTTCCTTTGAATCACTGGGGACCCTTTACCCAAAATCTAAGTGATTTTAACAGTGAAATTTAAAAGTTGCATATCCTTCTCTCTTATGAGAATTCCTCTATACCTAAAATTCATAAATAAACCACACAACTTTAAACAGCATTAGTTTATTATCTATTCTCAGACCATGTGTTACCTCAAACAATCTAGATATATGTGTATATATACAAAAATTTTTAATGCTGAATAAATGCTGATTGGTAAACTATTATATAGCTGCTAATTGGGACTTGTTGCTTTTAGTACAACAAATCAATACTAAAATGTTTCAATCTGTTTATGTCTATATTTGTATTTGATTTTTTTTTCAGTATATATAAATTTTCAAGTCCAATCCAAAGATTTCAGATATATATTAACAGAATAAATAGGTGGGGAATTTTAGAATTTCACTGATCCATATGAATGGATGACTCATTAATGGATATTATATAACTTTAGGGTAAGAAATTTTAAATGTAGTTAGTGAAAATAAGACAGGTCTGACTTTGAGGATTTACTCTATAGAACTTATTAGAAGTCAATTACTGACATGGGCCTTAATACAAATTGTTGCTCCTGTTGCTAAGTGCCGAGTTAATTCCAACTCATAGTGAACCTGCATAGGGATTCCAAGGAGTGGCTGGTGGACTTGAACTGCCGACCTTACGGTTCAAACCAACAATTGCAGTTCAATGTTTATCCTACAAGTGCCACACCAGGACTCCTAATACAAACTGATGTTGTTAAGTGCCATCACATGTTCCGACGCACTGCAACCTTGTATATGGTTTCAAAGTAGCAGCTGGTGAGTTTGAACTTCCAACCTTGCAGTTCAAACCGACCTTGTGGCCCAGTGCATAATCCTACTGTGCCACACCAAGACTCCGTACAAGCTATTTGCTAGTAAATATACTAAAGGCTTTTTTGTATTCTTAAAATATTTAAATTATTACCCTATTTCTTTATTATTATAACAAAACATTCTATTGAGTTCTTCCTTTTTAGCAAAAAAAAAATTTTTTTTTAAATTTTATCTAATAGTTTGGAAGAAAATTTAGGCAATTATTTTAAATGGGAAACCTTTTTTGCTACTAGTTTTTCATTGTATATGTTGATAATAAGCACATTCAATTTTGTGAGATGTAAAAACATTGAACTTTTTAAAAAAAACTGGAGCAGAGTAAAATACTAGTGTATGTAGTATTGCTTTTATAATACTTCAATATACCATACAGACCATTAACATAAGGTTAAGTCAGTACAAAAAAATTGTTCTTTGGGATTTATTTCCTTTTCTAAAATTTTAGTTTGTATATCTTACTGAGTGGTTGAAAACTTTGAAATAACACCTATTTTATGCATTTCCTTATCAAAGGCAAATGGGATTATGAAAAATTGGTCAAAAACAGTAAAAGGATGTCAGTAGTATACAATAATAGTTTTAAATAAACCAAGAATAAAAGGTACACTGAGGCTTTGTCCTATAAAAGCTGTCATTCTTTTCTTTAGAGATTACAACACACATACAGTAAGTGAATTTTATCAAAATACAGCACATTTCTTCTACTATATCAATAAAAATCAATTCCTATGTAAATAGTACTGAAAATCAACTAAAATGAGTAAAATTTACAAAGAGTTGTTAAAGGGTTTCAATCAAAATTATTAAAATTATACAGTACATACAACAAGCAATTGATAACATCTCAAAGGAAGTGCAATATTTGAGTTCACATGTTTTAAAAGTACTGCCTATTTACTCTGAGTAGCAAGAAAGGAACGAGTCCAACTCACTTTTGCAAAAATAATGTAGGTTGGTATTTTTGCTAGTCCTATAAAAATTTTTTTTTAATTAAATCCAGGCTGAAGAACAAAGCACGACAGTTTAAAAATCCCCAAATTATATTTCTTTCATTAAAAATGAGTTGCAACAACCAAATATTGCTCTAATGAAAGGCTCCAGACTAGCCCCGACTACAGTTATTGGTCTTCTATGGCACTTTTTCTGGTCCAAATAACCATGCATTAATTCTTACCATTGCATGTTACTCAAATTTTATTTGATTACAGAGACAGAACAAAACAAGTAAAATTAATGATTTGGATAAACAAGATTAATAAACTTATTATCAAATATCAGTTATAGTATCTAGGAACAAAGGCAGTTGGTGGTAAAACACTACTACACCAAAAGACTTAGAAACCCTTTAATGACTCTGAAGTGTCGAGTTCACATTTCATGTTCCCTGTAGGAAGAGCCCTTTATTTGAACACCTTTACAGACTGGTAGGCCTCAAGAACCTCTCCCTTTGCTCTATAGCTCTCCATAGCACTTCTCTATCACTGTGCCAATTTCACAGACTTGCTTTGGTTTCCTAGCTCCATGCGTACTGTTTCCTGTTACTTTACCAAGGCAATGCAAGGCCAAATAAAATCAAGAGGCTTTCCTAACCCTTCTTACATTTTGTGCTACAGGCAACACAATCTTAAAACTGGCCATTTTAGTTTCATTTGATGCTTAAAATAAAAGTATAAATCACATCAAAACAGAGTACTAATTCAAAAACAGATGGCAAGTGACCACCATTTGCAAAAAATCATGGGATCTCCATTGCACAGAAAATGCATGGCGACATGCATCCACAGCACAGTTAAAAATTTCCTGTGACTAAAAAATTAAAAATTGAATCACAAGTAACAAACGTATAATCAATGGCTAAGACAAAAACAGATCCTGTAGAGCTCATAAAATGCAATTATCGTCTTTTTTTTTCTTTAAAAACACATAACATTTTTATTGCATTATTCTATTAATAAAAACACATCAACAGATAGCTGTTCTTTTCATTCTTTACTTCCAGATTTTTATAGGAAATAATGTTTGAATCTGGCCTTGGAAAGTGAACCCACCAGCACCACCTTCACCGACTCATTCTTCAATTCAATGCACACATAGCAAAAGCCAACACTTCAAATCTCTTGCCCACATTGAAAAAAAAAAAAAAAAAAGGTTCTGCAGAAAAATATTCATACCAGTTGAATAAAAATAAGGGCATAAAAGCTATGAGATAGATCACTTTGCCATCTGTCTCGGGACTACAGTCAAGGCTAACTCTAGCCTTGTACAGAGTTCAGTTATGTATACGGAATCCAAAAATAAACCTACAATCTATACAAAAACAACACGGGCTTGTTTTTGTAGCCTTGATTGCTATGTTTAAAAACCTAACCAGAAGCTTTATGGCGTGAATGAAACAATCCCCTCTATATTCTGTACAGTGGTTCTTTCCCTCTAACCACAAGTTCCATTATTCCATTAATGTACAAATTTGAACATAGTTTTTTCAGTTCTTTATATATAAAAATAATCAAAATATTTATTTCCCCTGCAAGTATCTTCCAATGAATCTTGCTGTCGTCCCCTGGTTTTGGCCACAGTGCTTATGAGGAAACCTCTCGTACAATGAAGAGTTCTACTGTGTTCTGGAAAGTTTTTAGCAAGGACACTGCTTGTCCATGTTCAATATTGATAAAACTGTAGCCATTCGCCTACAAGAAAGAAAAAACATATTAGGAAAAATATTCGTGATACTTATTTCTGTGCACTTGAATTTCTGTCAGGTAGATCCTAAACCTGGCAGAAAACAGGAATCTCTTTTGGCAACTTAAAACAACACGTATACTTCTGAGTCCCATCCAATACCTATGGAAATAAAATCTCTTAAGGTCTCGAAAGTCCCGTGTTGAATTTTCAAAATTTTAAAGTAAAATTTTAAAGTGTCAGGAGCTACTTGCTTAGTGTCAGACTTGGTGTGCTCTCTCTGGGTGTGCAGGTGTTAGTTAGCCTAACACAGTAGTTCCTGGGGTCTTAAGAGCTTAGCACCCATCCAACGTAGGTTTCTATATGCTCTGAGCAGAAGAGGAAGGAGATCCAGGAATCAGAGAAAATACTGGACGGCAAGTCTAATTGCCTCCGTGAACTACTGCTTCCTTTGCTGTGAGACCAGAAGAACTGAATGGTGCCTGGTTACCATTATGGAATACTTAAATCAAAGACTTTATAGATGTCGAACAGAAATTCAGAAATTCACTTGCTAGACTCACTGAGGCTAGATGAATCCCTAAATCTGTTGCCCTGAAAAATTTTTGAACATTGAATTAAACTATTTCTGAAGTCATCTTCAAATTAAATAACAGTTTAGCAAATTAGTTAAGAATGCTCACTTTGAGTATTACACTTTTTTAAAGAACTATCTATATATAAAATGGAATTGACAAATGTACTTTAAAACAGATAAGTGGTCTACCAGGTGGTGTAAATCAATGATGGTGAAATGATCGATATGGGGAGACAGCAAGAAAGGTGACACTGAAGAATGTAACCAATGTCTCTGAATTGTATGCATGCAGTAATTATTGAGATGTTATCACACTTGCTGTGCATACATATTTCCCCCTCCCTCCTTCTGTTTCCCTCCTCTCTCCAGCCCCCTACTCCCCCAATCAGACATATACACATTCACTCTCTCCCTCTCTTACACACTCTTTTTAAGTGTTGCAGGCAAGATTTAAACTTAAGCAGTCAAGGAGCTCTGGTCACATAGGGTTACGAATCAGGCTGCTAATCTCAGGGTCAGCAGTTTGAAACTACCAGCCGTTCTGCAGGAGAAAGATGAGGCTTTCTGCTCCCGTAAAGATTTACAGCATCAGAAACCCTGTACAGGGTCGCTGTGAGTCAGAACCAACTCCACGGCACATAACAACCACAGCCTGGCTTCAGAGTCTTTTGACTTTAGCTACTAAACTCTAATGCCTCTGTCATTTTTAGGTTTGAGCTACACTTTTTAGGTAAAATAGGTAGTTGAAGGAACAGAGGAAAGGAAAAGGGTATGGAAAATAAGAAGGGTTTCTCAGACTACGAAATTTTTTCTTTCTAAGATGATAATAGCTTGCCCAAGAATAGTGCTCTGATTATCTAAATCTAAATAAATTAACATAGTCAAACTTAAATAAAATGGCATGATTTTTCAAGATACTGATGGGAAAGTTTTAGACTATGAAAGCATTCAGTTAAAGAACTAGAGGGTATAAGAAATGCCACTATTTTCATTTTCTGTTTAAAGATACAGTACATAAAATGCTTATTTTCAGTTCCAGCATTTAATAAGCAATTTTCAATGAGGAGGCAGACTTTATAAAGTGCAGAATTGAAATATTTTAAAAAAGATTTAATTAATTACCTGAATAATTTTATCACCTGGTTGCAGTAATTTTGATGCTGGTCCTTCAGGCTGAACCCTTGTTACAAATATACCCTGTAAGAGCAACATAAAAGATAAGTAACAGAGTATTAAAATTTATATCTTTTACAACACTAAAGGTAAGTAGCAGAGTATTATGGAGCAATGTTTCTTTTGCACTACGCAAATATTTGAATTGTGGCATGTTTTCTTCCTTGTTCTCGGAATATTACTGTGTCAACACACAATTAATTTTATCTTTGATAATTCTGATTTTAGTATAGGCAGTCTCTAGGTTACAAACAAATCGCCAACTTAAATGACTTCAACTTGCCCTTTACTATAGGTAAATTTGCCCTTATTTAAAAATGATTGAACCAACCCCTACTCACAACAAATTCTTGATCACAATCACCTTCATTTGCTGCATGTGCAACTTTAAAGATCATTGAATAAGCTGTGAGCCTTTTCTTGCATTAACGTAACACTAAATAAGAACTAAATGAATGCAACTGTTCCAAATTACCTACAAATTCAACGTAAAGACACAGTTAGGTAATTATCTTTATATCCAGGGGACTGCCTGTATAGTGACTTCTGTTAAAGTGATGGATTTACTTGTACAGATAGATGTGTGAAGAAGCAGTAAGAAAACTGAAATCACATAATAACAGAATGAAAATGAAAAGTTTGGGGTTAAATATCTTTTTTTTCTTCAAACAATTAACTTGTTCTGATCAAAGTTCAAAATAATAAGCTAAGCAATAGAGAGGGAAATAAAAGAGGTGGTTGCTGTCTATCTAAATTTATGTAAGTAATCTATGCTTTTGTTACTTAAGTATAAAAAAAGTATTAAATTAGTAAATACAACTTTATGGCTATTTCAAGGATAAATAAATAAAACTCACATCATCATCGGGTCTGAATGGATTTCCTCTACCCCCAACTCCTCCAGATATGCTAAATCCAAGTTCTGGATCCTTTTCAACCCTTACTCGAATCTGAGTTAACAAGAACATAAAACTAAATTAAACTACTATCATGTTTTCAAAAACCAATATTCATCAATATTCATACTTAAGATACTGGTGAATAAAGTCTAAGCAAATAAAAATATATAAATACTCTTCTAAAATAAATATTTGGGCAGATGAAGTGAAATAATATGGAATATGATTTTAATGAGTTAGTGCGTTAAAGGCACAGCTGGGATTATAAAGCATAGTTCCTAACTTTATTGCTTGTTAAAGTTGAACCAATTATATACTTTTCAGACACAGATTTTTGATAAGTAGAAACACAAAATATGCACATTATTAATTTCCATTTGTGAAACATCTAAATTACAAAATTACACAGTACCTCTGTTAACTGGTTTGCTATTTAGAAATTTGAGAGTGCTAAGTGGTTTATTTCCTGAATCTGATTATATTCTTCAAAGGAATTGGGATTTAAAAATCTGATATAGTTTTTATAACATGGCTATGATAATATAAGAGCCGAAAACTTTGTTACAAAACTTTCCCTTTCCCTAAAGACTCAATCAAAACAAATAAAGCATTTTGTTTCTACTTAAGATTTTAATACAGATTTAGAAACGAACAGAAATCTAGCAAATATATGAATGCAAGATTAATGGCCTTTTGAGTATTTTGAAAGATTTAATTCCCTAAGTAGTTTTGGAGATTACAACCAAAGTTCAAAGAATGAGGAGTCCAGAGTTTAAGACACAAATAATAGCAAACCATAATGTACCATTTAAGTACGATAGTCTACTATTTACATTTGGGAAGAAGGGAAGTAAACTGAGAAACTGTATTAGGAAAAAAAGTCATTCCCAAAATATTATATCCTATGTGAGGAAACTGAAAAAAAGGGGATAACAGAGCCACGTTAAACTACAAAGTTTAGTATCTGATAAACTTACCAGAAAACAAAACAAAAAATTTAAATGGTAAAAATATGTTAGTTAAAATTCTATATGGATTTATTGCCATAATTAAATAACCTATTAAAAACTTAGGTTTTCTATTTCAAATATTCTTGATTATTCTTACCTCTTGCTTTGCCAGTTCATGGCCTTGTCTAGGAGAACAAAGAGGCTGTGTATATGGAGGCTGGTGGGCCACTTTCAGCATCAAGTAGTCAATTAGTTGTTCTCTAGAGGGATGCCTTGCCACAGATGCCTGAGGAGGGGGGTGATGTATTTGACTATAATTTGCCTGAGGCCTGAGAGGCTGGCTCATCTGTCCATTACTCAAAGGCATCTAAGAAAAACATGAAGTGTCTTAAAACGACCAGTAATAATGTTCTTATTACAAGTATTTGGATTTTCTCCTTTCAGCATTGCAAAAGCACTAGAGTTTATTTAGCGTTCTTAATCACACAGTACCATTCAACTTACACTATCTTTTCAACTTTGAAAATTAAACTTTTCTTTTCTAAAACAGAGAAAAGCTATTACTATTTTACTTATAAATTTCCATGCTATTAGACTGACTCTTTCAAGCTGGCAGATAAAAGTAAATCACATGTGCATTTTAAGTGATTTATTTTGTTATAAATAAATGTACCTATCTTTCTTACACTAATTAAAATGGAAAACGTTTTATGCCAGTATGCTAGAATTATAAAGAAGTTCGATTAGAAGGGCATCTTTTCCCAATCTCTAATTAAACACAAACACACACACACAAGTAACTAATTTTTTCTTACAATTTTTTTTTTCTAATCTTGTTGTTAAGTGCTGTTGAGTTGGTTCTGACTCATAGCGACCCTGTATAGGGTTTCCAAGGAGCAGCTGGTGGTTCAAAGTCCAGTGTTGATTCTACAGTGCCATACCAGGACTCCTTTTTCCAATCTAATGAGTGTATTTCTCTACATTTTATCCTTTTTTTGTAGAATAAGTCAATTCAGCTAACTATATAGCCATAAACTGATTTATTCCTTACAAAAGGGGCATCAAAATCCTTTTGAAAAAACGGAATTAAAAGATAATAGAATTTTTTCACAAGCCTTTTGAATGCTCCTCATTTGTGGGTTAACAATTTTTAAATTCTCTAAACATTAATTTCATAGATTATTAACCATAAACTTTAACTCTGACATCTTATGTTAGTTTCACAAGCTAAAAACCTAGAGATTATTTGGTTGTTAAGCAACATCTGAGTTGTAAAACCTCTGGTTTTTAGAGACTGCGCCTGAGGTTTAAACTTACCATCACTTTTTGGGACTGTGTTAAGTAGCCTACTATTTTTGTGTGAAGAACCTATCTAAATAAAATAAAGGTTATAGTCATATTTGCATATAAGTTGATTTCCATTGACAGTTTGTAAAAAGATGACCTTATTCATACTGAAATTTGAGAAATATTGTGATAAATATTTGAGCTATTTAGCTAAAATTATCAAAATCTAGAAAAAGCAGAAAAATTATAGCATCCATTTCAGAATTCTTATATGAATCTTGTTGAAGGATACAAAGGAACCAGCTTTCGGGGAAATGATTTTGTATGAAACACAACAACAAAAAGACTCTCTTTCACTTTGAGTGAATATTGTATTATGGAGTACTGGTTTGGTGCTGCAGAATAGACACTGGACTATAAGGTGAGTAGTTAAAACCTACCAGCTGCTCCTCAGAAACCTTATACAGGGTCACTATAAGTAATAACCGCAGCATATTGTATTACATTTAAGAATTTAGTGAATTCTGAAGACTGGAAACATACATGTGTTTTTACTCTGTATTAAATCTTATGTGGGAGAATGAGGTACTGTTAGCTCTGTAAATCTTTGGGGAAAAAACTTGACAACTATAGATTTAAATTGATTTATCTGCTAGGAGTCTTGGTGTGGCACTGTAAGATAAACACCAGACTGAGAACCACAAGGTTGGCAGTTCAAATCTACCAAATGCTCCTCAGAAACAGTCTGCAGGGTGTATAGAACTAACTCGATGGCACTTAACAACAACAATGGACTCCTGGATATCTGGTGTGGCACTGTAGGATCAGGACTTGACTCTGAACCACAAGGTCTGCAGTTCAAACCCACCAGCTGCTCTTCGGAAACCCTAGACAGGGTCATTATGAGTCAGAACTGACTTACTGGCGCTTAACAACACAACAACTGTTAACTTTATTACTATGCAACATTTTGTTTCTCTTCATGTTTATACACTATATTCCTATATGCAGATTCAATACCTTTTTCCTGAAAAGACTTCTCTAGTCAATGATTACTCTAACCTATTTATTCCTAAGACTCTCTGCTACATGGACATCTAGCTTTGTATGACATTCCATACCAATGTTTAATATACACAGAGGTTATGATTAGCTGATGGCTCAGGAAAATAAACAGCATAAAACAAACTCAATACATTATTAAATGTATACTAAATGGGGAGAGGGGAAAGGATGATATAGTTTGATTAAAATAAAAAGGAAAAAAGGGTAAAATAGATATGTACAAATTCATAAATTAGATGGGTAAGGGCGTACTATCAAAAATAATGTAAAAGTTTTATCTGGCTATACTTGGGACATGGAATTATTTTGAAAAAAATAGGAGAAATAGCTGAAGAAGGATGATAAAAGTTTTCAATTTGGTATTGGTGACAGACAAAACTCTCTCTCTAAGAATGCATCCATCACCTATTTTACAATAAACAAAAGTCTTTCAAGGTAACTTAAAATTACATTTGAGGTATTTTTAAATGCTTTTAATAACAGTAAAGGAACTCTGGTGGTGCAGTGGTTAAGCATGCAGCTGTTAACAAAAAACAAAAGCGGTTGGTGGCTCCTATCCACCATAGGTACACGGGAGAAAGATGAGTCTTCCGTAAACATTTGTTGTTGTTGTTATGTGCCGTGGAGTCGGTTCCGACTCATAGCAACCCTGTACAGGGTTTCCAAGGCTGTAAATCTTTACGGGAGCAGAAAGCCTCATCTTTCTCCCATGGAAAGCTAGTAGTTTCGAACTGCTAACCTTGTAGCCTGCAGCCCGATTCGTAGCCATTACGCTACCAGAGCTCCTTTCTGTAAACATTTAGAGCCTTGTATATGGCGCAGTTCTAGTTGGTCCTAGAGGGTTGCTATGAGTCACAGCAAACTGATGGCAATGGGTTTCTGTTTTAATAACAATCCTCTAGAACAAAGACTTTAAGACAGACTCACTTGAAAATCGTCAATGACATTACTGTCAGAAATGCCAAAAAGCCCTATTTAAATAAGTGGGCTGTGCTAAATAACTCCAAATATACCAATAAAGTGATTCTCCAGTGTGGAAAATCATGGAGTAAACTGAGAAAAACAGAGGCCCTATTCATGTTCTATGCTACTTAAAAAGTTCTTACTAATCAGGGAAGAAAAAACCCTCAAAAAAGCGATTTTCAATGTTACAGTGTATGGGATGTTACCTATCCAAAACCACACAAGATAATAATCTTACAGATATGGCATCATTTATTTCCTGAGCACCTACTTTCATCAGGCTGTCTGGTGGAACATCTTTGTGACTAAGTGTAGCAGACGAGTAGTTATGCTGTCCTGAAATGAATACATCATCTTGACAAGGATCTCCTGGACTGGATGTCTGGGGAGTCTTCAAATGAGGGGGAAATAAAAAGTAAACAAATAATGCTCTTTAAGATGAGAAATCAAAATGATGATGACACTTGAGAGAACGTGAGGAAAAAAATACTGCTGGACAGCAGAAAGATGAAGAACCAAATCAAATATAACCATCATCGCTGTCATCAGTATTAGTTAGTACTTTGAGCCTTCTTTAAAAGCTACAAAGTCAAATGTTTTTATAATGTGTGGAAAGTTTATAATGTTAACCTATTTCTTTATAATACACACATTCTTCCACATGTTGTTTTTTGTCTTATTAGTTTTATTTATATAATATCTAGCTTTTAACTCTTTTAGACAATAATAGCCTCAAATTTTAAGTACAGCTGAAATACATTCCCTATTGAGCATGACAAAGTTTTTTTGGCTAAAAGTTAATGACTTTTCTTAAAACAGCACATTATACAGCACAAGATTTTTTTAAAATGATGAACAGCATCGATTAGTTTATGGTTTACATTTACTTTAACTTAATACTATCATTGTACTTTGTAGAGTACAGGTCTGATGAAAAGCTTCTAAAATCAATTTGCTATATTTTAAGAATATAATGACTTAAAAAGTAAAATACTCCTACTGATATCTTTATTTACCTCAGTGATAGTGTTGAGGAAAAATAGACTCAACATCTCATTATCCTGAATAATTTTTATTATATTCAAGATAATAAGATGCTGGGAGATAAAACATGTATATTTTTAAAATTATAATTCAGTTCTAAAGACTCGATAAATATTTAAAAAGCTAAACAGATTGTAGTAATAGTACTATTGTTACTCTCAAAATAGTATATATTTAAGCAAATAGAAAAGCAGGTGAAATCATATTGAAAACCATGCTGGAATCATTCCTCGTGATACATATAAATATCTATTTATAACAGATTTGCCTGATTTAGTTAGTTGCTAGTTCAAACCATGGCTTAGCATTTTAAAATGTGGTTTGACATAATTTTGTATTATTTCTGCATTGCATAATTTACTTTCCTTCTCTTTTATTGAGATGTTCATTCAGAATACATATAAATCAACTTAAATTCATACCTTGAAATTTAAACTTTAGCCTGGATGTACAATTATGTTTATCTACTCTTTCAAAGAACAAACATTTAATGAATTAAGTAACACTGAATGTGATCAACGACTATGAGTTTAAGAAAAGCCAGCAAAAAAGGTGACTGTAAAAGAATCTGGGGTAAACAATCATTGTTCCAAATGTCAATGAAAGGCAAAGATGAATTCTGAGTTAAGTGAAATCAGTGGTCTTTACTTGAAATCTCTTTCAAATTATTAAATTTCAAATGGCTGCTACCACCTTAACATAGCATAGAAGCCAAGTGGTGGTAGGTGACAGACGGTAGGGCAAGACTAGCTGAGGCCCAACCAGAGAAAGGAGAATTCAGGAGACTGTTCCTACGACAGAACAAAATAGAGCAAAACTAGAGTTGTATTAAAAAAAAAAAAAGAAAGAAAAAAAAAGGTGGGG